ATTAGAAATTTGAATGAATGAGGTGGACAACGGATGGAAGAGTATTTTTCTGAATTTCATTTCTATTATGAACATTAATTTTTTTGCCTGAACGATAATTGATCTTCATCATTGTATGAAGGTTTATATGGCTCTTATAACAGATATCTGAAGACAGTACTTTGTATCATCACCTATTTGAATATGTGACAGGTTGAAAATGATGTGACAGGAATTTGATTGGAAAAAGTAAGCTGGAAAATTGTCGAAGTTCAATTAGAACTTTGAATGAATGAGGTTGACAACGGATGGAAGAGTATTTCTCTGAATTTCATTTCTATTATGAACATTAATTTTTTTGCCTGAAAGATAATTGATCTTCATCATTGTATGAAGGTTTATAACAGATATCTGAAGACAGTACTTTGTATCATCACCTATTCGAGAAGGTGATAGGTCGACAATGAAGTGACAGGATTCTGATTAGAAGAAATAAGCTGGCGAATTGTCGATGTCCAATCATAAATTTGAATTAGTGAGGTTGACAACGGATAGACGAATATTTTTTGAATTCATTTCTACTATGAACATTGATTTTGTCAATAGCTGTACCTAGCGGAAATGGATATGAGAGGCGGTCAGGCAACTTCCACTATGGAATGTCCGTTTACAAGGCGTAGTGGAGGAATTCGCCTAAACGAAATCGCGGAAACCGTTTGTCGTTGAGGACGAAGGAGTCGAAAACTATTTGTTGGTTTGTCAGCACTCTCATAACCCGATTAGCACAGTGACGTTGAAAAATAGTTGGTTTGAAACCAAACTTAAGAACTTTGGAAGAAGTTTTTCCCAAACGTTGATTCAACGAAATGATGTCGCACAATGAAACATTTTTTCAACCTAATCACCTACTAGGAATAAACGTATTTTAGGAACGTTTTTTCAACTCGAGTATCAACGTGACATTAACGTATTGTTCCAATGTTTTATAATTGTCGATAATAAAAGATTATTCAATGTTTAATTGACGTTCGAAAATGACAATTTGAACAAGTTGATAAAATAAGATTTTTCAATGTTTACTTCGGATCAATTTTCAATCGGTGAATTTTCGATTTTCTGGACGTTACACAAACGTTTAAGCTAGATTTCTCCTCGTTATTTTTTTGTCCTCAATGAATTCATTATCATTTTCACAATTATTGCAATTATTATTATTATAACTTACTGACCTGATATGTGTCCATGTATTTCCTTTTCGTCCCAATTCCTTCTCAGTGACGTACCTATCTTCACGTATCCCTATTCGAATTTTTTCGACTACTTGTATTTTTCCGGAACTCTTGATGTGAGCGTAGGCGAGATAAAAACGGAATGAATACACGTTGTCTAATGACGATGATCTAACGTTGTTGAGAAACATATATTACCCGTTTTCTTTTTCCTACCAACCATTGTCAAATACTTTCAAAAAAACGTTCAAGTAACGTTCATTTTAAGAATTCGATAAACGTTTTGAATAAACGTTGATTCATCGTGAGGACTTTGCCGGATCGATGAAAAGTAGTTTTGTATCCATGTAGAACACACGTTGAAAAACGTTGTTGAAAACGTTTCATTCGCGTTCTCCTTCCACACTCGGTCAAAAAATGGTGACATATTCGCGTTGAAGAAATGTTTTTTTTTTCTTCGTCTTACTAACGTCTCGGAGAAACGTTTTATCAATGCATAATTTCAACAGATCGTCAGGACATATCGTTTTCAATACGTTCATGAAACGTTTGGATTTAAAATTATTTCAAGAGTTCAACGGACGTTTTATTCATACGTTAGTTTTCCTTGAACAATTCAACTATGGTATAGAATATAAACTACTCAACACTAATTTCGTCGCACACCAAAATGTCGCCCCTGTTATAATGTGAATAACTTTTTTCAGTTTAGAACAATTTGAATTTGGTTCACACTGTTCGATAGCCCAGTCCTTCAGCTATAATCTCGTACTTCATTGAAACATAAGGGTATTCACTTAAAATCTCTACATGGTGTTTTCCGACACTGTGCAAAATTTCGGAATATTCAAAAGGCTCTCAAATGGTGAAAAAAATTTTTTTCTCAACTTCGACAACAGAGGCATGAAGATGATCTCATTACCTCGAGATATTTCGCGAATCAACTTCCTATCTCTCTTATTTACAGAGTGATTTACAGAGTGATCTTAAAAAATCAACTTTTTGGTTTTGCAGCCATAACTTTTTTCCACGTCAACCGATTTTGGAAATCTTAGGCTCATTTTGAAGATAAAACTTCAGATGAAGAGATCTGAATATCAGAATATCAGAATTGACTCAAGATGGCTATGAAAGATCTAGAATTTTCTTGAAAGTGATCCAAATCTGGAACGCTCTCCAAATCTCGGTTGGGAGGAGAATTGAATGAAAATCAACTTGTTCTCAGAAAAACAATTCATTCTGGATGCGTCCATTCCTTGCTCTCAGTAGTCAAGAATGTGCGTGATAAAACACAATTGAAACATGTTCTTGCAAAAATATCAGACCATTTCTCCTCTGTAATGCATGGCCCGTAACCAACGTTACGAGAATCACAGTAAGGGACTGACAAGTCAGGTTAGACGTCGTTTTCGAATCATAAACAGATTTTGATAGTTTCGATGCCGCATCTAACGCCCGACCAGTTGAAACTGATTCGTTCGGCGTATTATTGCGACTGAAAACTTTACGTATCTGGCAAACTGTTTTCGTGAAACTTTCACCATTTTTGAAATGTGTTTTTACAATAAATAAACGTTGTTCGCTTGAATACTTTTCCATATTCTTCAATCGCATGTTATGTACGTGACAACTGTTAAAAAAATCACTTATTCAAAGAAATCGAAATCTGTTGCTCTTGTTGGTACACCATTTATGATGAGCCTCAGCTGGTCGGGTTTGTCAGTCACTCATTGTGATTCTTGTAACGTTGGTTACGGCGGGCCATGCATTACAGAGGAGAAATGATCTAACGTTTTTGCAAGAACATGTTTCAATTGTGTTTCCTCACGCACAATTCTTGACTACTGAGAGCGAGGAAAATATGGACGCATCCAGAATGAATTGTTTTTCCGAGAACAAGTTGATTTTCATTCAATTCTCCTCCCAACCGAGATTCGGAGGGCGTTCCAGATTTGGGTCACTTTCAAGAAAACTCTAAATCTTTCATAGCCATCTTGACTCAATTCTGATATTCAGATCTCTCCATCTGAAGTTTTATCTTCAAAATGAGCCTAAGATTCCCAAAATCGGTTGACGTGGAAAAAAAGTTATGGCTGCAAAACCAAAAAGTTGATTTTTTGAGATCACTCTGTAAATAAGAAAGATAGGAAGTTGATTCGCTAAATATTTCGAGGTGATGAGATCATCTTCATGCCTCTGTTGTCGAAGTTGAGAAAACATTTTTTTTTCACCATTTGAGAGCCTTTTGAATATTCCGAAATTTTGCACAGTGTCGGAAAACACCATGTAGAGATTTTAAGTGAATACCCTTATGTTTCAATGAAGTACGAGATTATAGCTGAAGGACTGGGCTATCGAACAGTGTAAACCAATTCATATTGTTCTAAACTGAAAAAAGTTATTCACATTATAACAGGGACGACATTTTGGTGTGCGACGAAATTAGTGTTGAGTAGTTTAGTTTAACAACAACTCAAACTAGTCGTTGACAAATAACAAATGGAAACGTTGCTGAGAAACTTTCTATTCGCGTTCTTTTTTTATTCTTGGTCAGAAAATAGTGACAGATTCGCGTTAAAGGAATGTTTATTTCGAACGTCTAACTAACGTTTCGAAGAAACGTTTCATAAATACATAATTTCAACAAATCTTCAGGCCATATATTTCTCAAATCGTTTATGACACGTTTAGATTTCTCTTTAAATACTTCAACAATATTTCAACGTTGAATTTCTCAACAATAAACGTATATCTAACTTGTTTCATGTTGATAATACGTTGAAAAAACGCACGTGGCCCATTTGGAAACAGCGTGTAAAATATATCCACCTATGTTGATAACTGTTCGATGTTATTCAAGTAGTGCATATAGTTGCATTCGAAGTGTCGTTAGAATAAGATTGCCGTCAACTTGGAAGTTATTCCTAGTCCTTTTGTTGTTGTCATTCATTCGATATATTCTGTCTCAAATGTTGATGAAAAAACTATCATCCTCGAAGTATATAATCGTGTTCAAATAGATAACTTACTCGGAGGTGGGTATCAGTGAAAAATATTAAGGTTGGTTCTTGCAACCTTTTTATACTTCAATTTTGGAAATAATTATTATCATGTGATGTTTGTGGTCGACCAAGTATTTCGATTTCATTCATATCTTAATCATCTCTGGTGATAGTGAATGGTTTCACGAGTTATAGTAAAATAGTAGCTACCGATTAATACTCAAAGTCATCTCAACGACGTTTTAGTTCAAGTAACGCATCAATCAACAGAAATGGCACTCACAATAATGAAGTGAGTAGGAATTGAGAACAGGAAATGGGAGGAATGAATGTGATTTGATAACAAAATAGAAAATAACAGGGTGTAATAGCTTGGCCATTCCGTTTTTTATTTTGGAGTAACAGTAAAATCGCATATTTTATGCCACACTACACGATATAAACGACTACCAGATTCCTTTGACTAATCCACCTTTGTCAAATTTCTTATGGAATATAATACAATGAGAAGAGGAGAATAAAAAAAAACAGACATGAAGCAACAAAATCATCCATCGGTATTTCTAGTGAATCGATCATCTTTCCGCTAAATCTTTACGTATATACTAAGGAGCTTCTCCAAGGATTATGTATTGAACCTTATGAACTGAACTAGATATTGAAAAGGAATGTATCGCCTATTTGTAACATTCGTTTCATCTCCATCATCAACAAATCATGAATTGAAACCTTGTCCATATTGCACGCAGAATATAACCTATTAGTGATTTCTTGTGATCACGTGAATTACCTCATATTTGGCTTCATCACAAGCACAACATTTCTCCACCATCTCAGGTTTGACATTCTCATTAGAGTCATCTTCACACAATATTTTGGTCAATTGTCCATCTTCACTGAACCAGTTGTCTCTTGTCTCAACAACAGAGGCCTTTATAGCAATGCAGCCACTGTTTTCTGGTGGTGCAACCCAATAAACCTGAATGATAAAAATGTAATCAATTACTTCATCACAAGCCTCCATATTCGAGATTAAAATTAATTACGGAATATATTTATCTTCATATTCAATAATTTGGTACCACATGTTCAACACTCTATATGGTTTGATCAGTTGAAAGTATAAAAATAAATATAAAATAAAATTCGAGATCATCCGAGTATACCGAATACCGATATACAGATTACTTTTCCGAGTGTCTACGAGAAGAATAGGACTACAGGACATTCCTTGTACTTTTTGCTTATCTCAAGAATACATCTTGATTTCTCCTATGCTTTTGGAGGCTTCCTTCTATATTCGGGGAACATCGTGCATACCTAATAAAGATAGGAAGAGAAGGTAGGTATTAGATTCGTATTTTGCCATTCCATAGACAAACGAGTTCTAGTGGTTGACGACGAAAGGAAGTGCTGACTGGGCTTGAGCTTGTCGAGTAGGTCGGATTGGTATTGCTAGCGATGGAATGATAGCAGAGACTTCGTGAGAACCTTTCCCATGAAACTGTCTACACTGGGAGAACATGGTTAACTAAATCGCTCAGTTAGCATGTCTTCAGTACAGATGATTGAAAATATTGAGATTTTTATCAACAATAAAATATCCCTATTTCCTTCGAACAACGTTGGTATTTTCACCTCATTATTTATTATTGATGATGATACTATTTACGAAAAATTCATCACAGAACTGTCCATTCGATTAATTGGAGTTTCATGTTGGAGTAATATACTCTTATTCTGGGGTCACTATGAACAGCTATCTATTTGCCACAACTTATATCACATTCATCAGACATTGTCTATCATTATTCACAACAAAAATGTATCAGCCATAAGTAGAAGTGATAGTTAAGATGCTATATTCAAGCTGACTCGGGATATTTTGAAACCGATTAAAGCAAACATCACGATTTATATCGTTTCTACCGTCACTTTATTTCGATCTGATGAAGTTGCAAGGTCATCGTTCCTGAGCGTTTTGAATCAAAATCCGTTGCTCTTGTTGGTACACCATTTATGATGAGCCTCAGCTGGTCGGGTTTGTCAGTCACTCATTGTGATTCTTGTAACGTTGGTTACGGCGGGCCATGCATTACAGAGGAGAAATGATCTAACGTTTTTGCAAGAACATGTTCCAATTGTGTTTTCTCACGCACAATTCTTGACTACTGAGAGCGAGGAAAATATGGACGCATCCAGAATGAATTGTTTTTCCGAGAACAAGTTGATTTTCATTCAATTCTCCTCCCAACCGAGATTCGGAGGGCGTTCCAGATTTGGGTCACTTCCAAGAAAACTCTAAATCTTTCATAGCCATCTTAACTCAATTCTGATATTCAGATCTCTCCATCTGAAGTTTTATCTTCAAAATGAGCCTAAGATTTCCAAAATCGGTTGACGTGGAAAAAAAGTTATGGCTGCAAAACCAAAAAGTTGATTTTTTGAGATCACTCTGTAAATAAGAAAGTATAATTGTAGTATAATTATTATTATTTTCATTCCATTGGTATCTTGAATGAATATTTTTATCATCATTATTATTATATCAGTGCCAAAGATTCCAGAAAACCCAAGTCATTTAAAATCATTTCCACCCTGGCTAACTACAGGAATTAAAGCTGACATAAAAATCAAACAATATTTTAGAAAGCAAAAAAATGTTTACCATTACTATCTTGAGAATTTCAAAAGAATTAGAGCATCATTGAAACTCGAAATCAAAAATGCTCATAAGAATTTCGTTGAAAATATTCAAGCTAACATTGAGAATGACAGTACACTGTTTCAGAACTTCATCAAGAATAGAAAGCAGAAAATGAATGATGGGAATAACTTTATAATTAATAATCGTCGAGTATCTGATTCGAAAACTATTGCGGGGGAATTTGCGGATTACTTTTGCTCAGTGTACGAAAACGACTCTACCTATAATTTGGATGAAATTAACAGGTTAGCTAATCATCGTGTTGATTTCTTCCAAAATATTTATTATGATCAGATCTACCACTGTGAACTAGAACAAGGATTTCGAAAATTAATAACGAAGAAGTCATCTGGACTAGACCCCTAACAACACCAGTACATCCTAGGGACTTCCCATGGACGTCCCTGATTTTATACTAGGACATCCCAGGGATGTCCTTTGTCGGGACAACGTACATACTAGGGATGTCCCAGGGACATCCGCTGGCCGCTAAAAAAGGCATCCAAGGGATGTCCTTCTGGTACGTCCCTGGGATGTATCAAGTATGATGGAAGGAAATCCCTAGGACGTCCCAAGGATATCCCAGGGACATTCTTTCGACAAAAGAAAAAAGTTGCAGGTCGAGCAGGGATTGAACCCGGGACCTTTGGTTTATCATGCACGCACCTTGCTCCATTGGCTATCATGCCTCCTGAAGATTTATGTACTAAACAGGACTTAACTACAGAAACCTGAACAAATACAACTTAATTAGGAATTGGGTATAATCATTATATCATTCTTGGGTGTTTAAAAATGAGGGGCATTATGCATGTACGATTTCTGTCTGCGAGAAATGGTAATTTCTCAAGAAGTTTTGAGACTTTATTCTTTTTTTTCATTACAATCATTTTCCGGAAGAGAAACAAACATTTTAGAAAAAATTCAACTCGATAGTTTGATGAAATTCAATGACTCTGATGTGAATGGATATCAGATACTCCAGGGACACGAATAGGATAACCTAGGGATGTACCGGGCGGGATGTCCACTGGCGACCACTGCAGGACATCCCCTGGATGTCCCAATCATGTCCTTGTACCGCGGGACAAAAAAGGGACGTACCTAGGACATCCCTGTGTTGTTAGGGACCATATTCCGTGCTACATTTTCAAAGCGTGCAGAGATTGTTTAACATACCCACTTTTGATAATCTATAACAAATCACTTAAAAGTGGTGTATTCCCAAACCAGTTCAGAAAGACTCGTATAACACCGATTTTCAAACAAAGTGCGGAATATTAAATAAATAACTATCGACCGGTCGCAGTACTAAACAGTATTGAGAAAAATTGTGAATTTATCATTCACGAGAAACTACATACTGCCTTGAGAAATTATATTGTATCTGATCAACATGGATTCACAAGGAAAAGATCGATAGAAACCAATTTATTGACTTTCAGTACGAATATAAATAAGAGTATGGATGCAAAAGTCCGAGTTGATTGCATTTACACGGATTTTGCTAAAGCCTTCGACAAGGTTACTCATGATATATTATTGGCTAAGTTGAAATTCTACGAATTGAGTAATAATTTGATGATTATTTCGTTTTATATCTGAAGGCACGCGAGAACAACATGTCAGTTTTGAAGGTGAGGAATCTCACTCATTCTTGGCGGGCTCAGGTGTACCACAAGGGTCAAATCTGGGTCCATTACTTTTCTCAATTTTCATCAATGACTTTCCAGAAGGGATTTCATCTACTTGTCTGCTATATGCTGATGATTTCAAGATGTTTAAAAACAAGATACAATGATTTCCTTGAACTGCAAAATGATCTAGATCTGATAGTGAATTGGTCATTGGAAAATAAATTATCATTCAATCTATCTAAATGTGAAGTTATCACTTTCTCTTGGAACGAAAATAGACACAATTTAATTTACACTATGCAAAATACTATTTCAGAAGTGTCGACGAAATATGTGACCTTGGAGAAATATTTCTAGGTGACTTCAAGTACAATCTACACATGCAGAATATTGTAAAAGAAACCAATAAGTTGTTCGGTTTCTTGAAACGTAGCACACAAGAATTCACAGATACAAATATCATTCATCGAGATAGAATATGCTCGTACTATATGGGATCCAGGACAACAAAAAATGGAAAAATGATGGAAACAATTCAAAAATCAAATCCTAAAATTTCTCTATCACAAAAAATATCAACTGTCTCCTAGTTTCACTTTCCACGGTACTATTAGAGAAGAATTCGGTTCAGAAACTCTTGAACGTAGAAGAACCCTCATGAGCTTGATCTCACTTGCTAAATTGAATGGACAGTTAAATAATATGTTCCCAATTAGTGAGATTTCCCTTTACGTACCTCCACCAGAAGTTCGACCATGACAAATATCTTTGTTCATAAATAAATACGATACCCCAGTCCATAGATTACGTAGATTATATTATTATGTAGATTATATGATACATATTCGACAACCATAACGTATGGTGTGTCTGATACTTCAATTCCTAAATTCGAAGCCAATCTGAGGAATGTTATAAATGCTTGGTGACAATTCATGATTTCTGGTGTGAATTTCCTCTTCTTCAGTTAGGTATTCATTGTCATTATCAATTTTATTATTGGTGTCATTATTGTTGTTGTGAGTATTATTATTATTGCCATATTAAATTTAATTGCCTCTTTCTTTAAGAACTTTCCAGAAACATGTTTTAGGCTCTGCTTGTTTGTTTCTGCAGAATAAATAAATGAACTTCCACTCATATGTTTAACATTTTTGTTAGATGTTGAGTGAGAATAATTTTTCTCTTTAGATTGACTTTGTAAGTACTATGACTGATGATAACCATTTGCATGATCGAAACATGTCTCAATCGAAAGTAATAAAGCAGCATTGACTGACTGCACACCTCACCAGTCAACTTGTGGAGACGACTTTGAGTTTTTTCTTCTGTCTTTGATCATCCCCCTCCACTTAGAGTATGGACTACATATTTAGAAGAAACTCAGAAAGTTTGAACAGTTATAAATGGTGATTCTTATTCTGAATGTCATTTTATTCATTTGCACCCCACATTTTCATTTTGACAATCGAAGTATCAGTTTTTTATTACATGTATTGTGACGTTTGGAGATGCTCGGCATAAAACATCAGTGAATAGAGCAGGTTGTGACACTGGTCTGTCATTATTTGTTCTGGTTGCTGCAAAGTCTGGATTATGTGTTCCCTCACGATATTATTCACAATTGTGAGGAGC